GAATAAGGTTTCAAGAATTGTACTTTATGATTTCAAATTTTACTGCAAAGCTACAGTACAGAAAACAGTACTGGCATAGAGAGAGACAGATCAATGAGGTAGACTTGAGCATACCGAAATGAACTATAAAATTTATGATCAACGTATTTTCAGTATGGGTACCATAGCCAATTTGGTGTGGGAAAACAATGGTCTTTACCAAAAAAATGATGTTCAGATAAGTGGATATCTATATGGAAAAGAATTTGGATCCCCATATATATATAAAAATATATATTTAAAAGGATATATATAAAATAAGATATATATTAAAAAGATATATATATCTTATTATATATAAGGGAATCTTATATATATAAAGATATGTATAAAAAGATATATATATCTTTTAAAAAATCTTAAAAATATCTTAACTCAAAGTGGATCATAGATCTAAAGAGATAAAACTCTTAGTAGACCACTTCTTAAGTCTTTTGGCTAAAATCATTAAAAGATGATCAACATCAATAACCATTAGGAAAATTCAAACCAGAACCACACCATTTCATACTTTTTAGAATGGCTATAATAAAAACACAGATAATAGTAAGTGTTGGAGAGGATATGGAGAAACTGAAATCTTCATATATTGCTGATAGTAATGTAAAATAGTACAAGTGCTTTGGAAAACAGTTTGTGGTACTTAAAACTCTTGCTATATTACCCAGCAAGTTCACCTGTAGGTATATACTCAAGAATTTTGAAAATGTATGTCCATACAAAGACTTTTTTTTTTTGGTACCAGGGATCAAACTTGGGACCTTGCGCTTGCGAGGCAGGTGACAGAACCACTGAGCTAAACTCCCAGTCCCTATACAAAGACTATTTACATTAATGTTAATAGCATTTTATGGTAACCAAAAGGCAGAAACAACTCAAAGGTTTTCATGGTTGGATAAATAAAATGCAATATACTTATATAATGGAATGTCAACTGGCAATAAAAATAAATGAAGTACCAGTATCTGCTATAACATGAAGAGCCCCTGAAAATGTTCTAAGTGAAATAAGCCAGTCACAAAATACCATCTATTATATCACTTCTTTTATGTGAAATATCCAGACTAGAAAAATTATAGAGACAGAAAGTAGATTAGTAGGTACCTAGGACAGAGGGTTGTGTGTGTGGAGGGGAATGGGGAATGAGTGACTACTAATGAATACAAGATTTTTTGTGTGTGACAAAAACATTCTTTAAAATTAGATTGTGGTGATGGCTGCACAATTCTGCGAATACGCTATAAACCACTGAATTGTACACTTTAAATAGGTAAATTTATCATGTATGAATTGTATCTCAAAACCACTAGAAAACTGGAAGAAAAAGGACAGATTAAACTCAGAGAAAATGTTCTGAGGGACAGGAACAAATTGTTTATGTTCTAGCATCAGAAAACACCACAAATAGACACTAATGTGTACAAATAAGAGAGTGAACATTTGTTAAGAAAATGATAATTAAATATACTGTTGAAAAGACAGAAAAGATACAACTATGTTCCACTTTATTTCCCTAGCACATCAGAACAATGGAGGTTATTTTGAAAAATTAGCTCTGGCACACAAACTGGTTATTTTGTTCAAAATATAGAGCTCTGACACTGTGCCTGTCAATCATCCTAACATTTATTAAGCATCTGCCTACATTTTCAGCATGGTGAGAGACAGAAAAACAGAAGCAGTATCCCTGTTATATTGACTAAATAAAGCCAAAACACATGAACATTCTTTTCATACGTATTTCATATATTTCATCATATGTTTAGAGATAATCTGTTATGTATAAAGCATTTTTTAGTAAAGGAGAGATGGGGATATAAATGAAAATTGACAAAACTATGTTCCTTTCCCTCAAAATACTCAAATTTATTAGAAAAGGTAAACGTACAAAAATGGGAGTAAAATATGACATTATATGATAAATGGCTACAAAAGTAAACATTTTAATGAGAGGGTCAGAGAAAGATAAAATAATTTGGGCCCTATGAGATTAGAAAAGATTTCAAAAGCTTTCTAGCTATTGATCTGTCTTTCACCTCTTATCTTGAAACAAATGAAAACAAAAACAATATTTATTCATTTTAACTTTTATAAAAGTTACCTAAGATTCAAATCAGTTATTAAGAATCTTCAGCCTGCCTCATTTCCCACACCTGTTTTTCTTGCTCCAGAGGCAACCATTTCTACCTTTTATACAAGATTATTTTAGAATCCTTGTCTCTAACATATAATACTTATGTCACTATTTCTTGATATTTCATTTTTAGACAGTGAAGGTCTTAAAACTGCCTATGCTGGAAACCTTGAATATGATCTTTAAAATTCTTCATTCAATTGCTTACCATGTCCTAACTGCTGAGTATTTTTGAAATCTGCCATACTTCCCTATTCCCAGTATTTTTGTTTTAGGGCTGGTAGCAATAGCCATTCAATTGGTCTGTCTCCACTTCCATTCTTGCATCTATAGTAATCTTTCAAAAATGCAAAACTGAATAGGTCATTTCTGTAGTTAAAATTTTACAGTGGAACTCTGTAAACTTTCAGGATAAATTTGACACTCTGCATATCACACTAGGCTCTTCCTAACCTCTCCCCTCCCTCACCCAGATTCGCACCTTACACTCTTTTACTGACCTATTCGTATTATCCAGACTGTTCAACTCCTTCAGACCTTGATGGTGTTCCTAGAACACAGTTCTACTCTTTTATCCCTCATGACTCAACTCAGATAATACTTGCTTTTTGCAAGTCCCTCTAATTCTCCTTAATCTTAGAGATCCCTTCTCTACTCCATGCTTCTAGAGCAAACTGTGTATACTTTATCATACTGTTTACCTACTTTTCTACTTGCTTATCTGTCTCCTGAACTTGATTATGAACTCTGCAAAGCAAATACTGTGTCCTTTATCTATGTGTGTAACCCAATTGAACAGAACCCAACAAGTGTTTAGCAAATGTTAAGTTGATGAAGGAAATTTTATATAAACTGAGTAGGATTTTGATTATCAAGAGAAGAGATCATAAGTGCATTCCAGGACAGGATTAGCATGAATAAGGCACAAAGTATGAAAATAACAGGGATATTTCTAAACAGCAATTTTTCTAAACAGTATCCTGACTTTGCAGGCATATAAGATCTGTACAACTATGTGATGTAAAGGCGTTGGATTCTGAACTCATTCGTTCATACTAACAGATACTGAACCAGGACCTAGGAAGTGTGGTGACCAAGGTGTGACAGATAAAGCAGTGAACAGGACAAGGCTCTGCCTTCATTTATCTTTCAATCTAATAGCTGAAGAATTGAGACATATCAAGAGAAAGTGAGGACTTATTGGTTTAATTTTCTTGTTCTACCTTATCTACCTTGCCAATCTCTATCCTTGGTTAATACCTTTCCCTGCACTGTTTCATAGAAACAAACTGCTTACAGCAAAGATATTCTTGTACTGATCATTTTACTTCTTTAATAAACAATAGCATTAACTTTTTTTTTTTTTTGGTACTGGGGATCGAACTCGGGTCTTTCCGCTTGCACAGCAGGTGGCAAAACCACTGAGCTAAATCCCTGGCCCAATAGCATTAACTTTTAAGGAGTCACATTTTCATTAGCTTACATGAAGCCCATGATCAACTGGAACATCTATATCATTTTTCGCCTGAATGGTATCTTACTCTGTTTTCTGTGGCTGTGACACAATACCATTGACCATTGACTGAGTAATTTGTAAAGGAAAGAAATTTATTTCTCACAGTTCTGGAGGCTGGAAGTCCAATATAAAAGTGCTATCCTCTGGTGAGGGCCTTCTAGTTGCACTGTAACATGGCAGATGGCATCACATGGTGAGACCATTTTACCACAAAAAAATACACTGGAGGAAATAATGAGTGTATTATTGAAAAAGTGGGGCCACAGAGAAGATACCTCTCCACATAATATAGCACAACCAGATTCTGACTTACCTTCCAGCATGTTTGATTGTCAGCATTATGTCATTTACTGATGTTAGCTCAGGAAATACTATTTCACATGCTGTGTTTGAAACATCAGTCAGGCCAGACCTCCCTCATGCAAATGCTGTCTTACTGAGCCAAGAAATCTGGGAAAGCATGGTAAAGAGATAATACTAATATATAAGAATATATAAGAATAAAATCACTGCTTTTCTATTGTGAGAGATTTGCAATGTTTTCATTGGTTTTTTTAATCTCCAATGGACATTTACGATACCTAGCACATATAAAGACTTAAACCTGTTTAAAAAGTACTACTTAAGGCCAGGGATTTGGCTCAGTGGTTTCGCCGCCTGCTACACAAGCGGAAGGATCTGAGTTCGATCCCCAGCACCAAAAAAACAAAAAATAAAAATAAAAAAAATAAAAAGTACTACTTATGATACACAAGAATTCTTGGAGAGTCATGGCCCTGACATGCTTGATAATTTTGGGAAATTCATTCCTAAGTATTTTAAATAATCAATGAAAGGGAACATAGGACTTCTCTGCATCCTTTCCAATTTCTCCATGGAATAAGTGATGGAGATAGTGTAGTAACAATTAACATTTATTGAAAATTACTATGTGCTTGGGAACATTCTAAGCTCTTGAATTTAGAAGATGCAAACATTTCAAAAAATGTTATAAAATTAAATAATCTAAGTAGTCAGCATTAAAGATAAAAAATCAACTAGGCAATGTATTTCAAATCGCTTGAGTGCATATGAAGATGCATAAGTAATTACAGTACATCTCTAAACAACTTCACAGATGCTCTGTAAAAATAAATCAATCAATAGATGGTCAAATACGCTATTTGATAATACCCTTCCATAATACTCTGTGAGGATAGGACTGTGCTGTTTAAAGAACATACTATAACAGAGCAACCCAAGTCTGACTCACTAAAACTTTCTGAGGTTACCACTATAGCACACAAAGATACACAATTCATTTCAGTAACATAGACTAGAAAGGCCATTTATTGTCATACATGTAAAAAGCAAAGGGTCAAAATACAATGCCAGAAAAGAGATAAGTACTGTAATATTGCAGAAATCACCTATGATCATAGAAAATCAAATGAAGCAGTATAATAAAATTACGCTAACTCTACAAGAAAAAAATGAAATATTTGAAAGGGACAAGTATAAAATAATTTAACTAAATATAAATACAATGACCATCAATTTAAGTTAGGCCTCAAAACTCAAAAAGAACAGTGTTGGTTGGATTCTTTGGAATTGAGTCATAAAGCTATACTCTGGATTAAGAACTATTATTTATGAGCATTTTGCATAGTTCTTGTCTAATAGAAGGTGCCCAATTATTACTTGCTCAAACTTGAGTATTTTAAATTGCATGTTTATCATGTTAATTGTAAATGTTGCTTACTTTATCAATTCTGTTAAAACACAAAATATTAAGAAGCACCTAATAGATATGGTCTGATGTTAAGATTATAAAAATACCCTCTGGTTCTGTAATCTTATGATCATAGAAATATCTTTTTCTAAATTCAAATGCACTAATATAATATATGCATATATTACTTTAAAAATCAAGGAATACATTTTCAATTAAAGAATTTATTGAAAGCCTGTAATCCCAGCATTCTGGGAGGCTGAAGCAGGTGGATCACAAATTTGACCCTAGCCTGGGGAACTTGGGAACTTGGCAACTTAGCAAGACTTTGTCTCAAAATAAAATATAAAACTGGGCTGAGGCTGTATAAGTATGAAGGCTCTGTGTTCAGTCCCCAGTACCACAAAAAGAAAAAAAAAGTGAGTTCAAGTTGACCTATCATGTATTATCTTGTCAGTGATATTTTTGGAATAGGGTTAATTCAAAGGATATTGATAGGGATGGTGAGATTCAGTATTACGTGGAGATCATAAAATCTTGACATAATGATGCTTTGAACTTTAATATAACTCTTCTTTTATGAAAATATTAAGTGTTCTTAAATTTAATTGGGAAATTACAGAAAATTTAAAGATAATTAGTCTAGCTCTGGTTATATAGAAACAAGCTAAGGGGCAAAGAATTAGCACATTTTGGGGCTTGAAAAAGTGGTTTCTTGAGCTCTTTATTTCTTATAGTAGCAGGCCAGAGTTTTTCTTTACTTGAGAAGTTCAGAGCTAACAAAAGTCTAAGAAGTTATATTCTGGATAGCTTATGATTTGACTTTGAATATGAGTTTGTGCCATTCAAAAACCTATGATTTGCTATGATTGCTGTTATGGAAAAGACTACAAATACATGTGTTTTGAAGATTCTTCTTTCTCAACTAATAGCTATCATTCTACCTTATAAAGGTAAATAAGGCTTATAAATTGAATTGTAAACTATTTCTGTCTATGCAAGAATCCTTCATTGAGCACAGTATTTGGGGAGCTGAGTGGATTCTATGAAAGGTCACAGAAATGAGAAAATGTGTTGGAAGACAGGAAAGAAAAAAGTAGCAGACTCATATGAGAATGATATTTTAAAATATATTTTAAAGTAACTGGATGTATAACTTCAAATAATTTCTGAAGTAATAACTGCTTAGGAATCATAACTGACTTTAAATCTGTAGATTCCACTCATATTCTTTCTTGTTCTTTACATGACTTTTAATTTTCTTTAAATTACTAACATTTTTAACTGATTCCAATCTGTCTTATGTAGCTGATATTATTATTAAAACATATTCAATTAATTCATTATGCCTATTGTTGCTAAGTTATAATAAAGGGATGAACACTAGTAGTAATGTTTTAAAGATCAAAAAGATAACATCTATTCCTTTTGAAACCATGGCTCATGACCTTCAGAATGGTTTCTCATGCTTCTACTTCTGATAGAAAGCTGGATGACAAGTCAGATAAAGGAAAACAAAGGAAAGGAAAGGGAAAGAGAAAGAGAGAAAGAAAAAGAAAACAAGACTAGACAAGACTAAAAGAATTCTGGTGGTGCATAGAATTTCAAAATAGGCTTTTTATACAATATATTCTATATTTAAATTGCTCAAAGGGTCAACAATTCTCTTTCAAAACACCCTTACTTCAGCAGGAGACCTTTCATGTTCCACATAACAACTGAGACTTGAGAACTATTTTTCAGTTATTTTTTGCTGTGATCCAAGAGAAATTATTTTTCTCTGTAATATAGTTTTGGTATTGTGCTTGTATTAGGTAGTTTCCACTATATCAAGTAGATATTAAATATTTATAGTAAGAAATTAGAATTTCATTTAAAGCAACAAATGTGCTTAAACACTACATTAACAAAAACAATTTTTCTTTCAAGTTTTAATATAGAACAAAATTGAGGTTTCTCTCAGCTTTGGATAATGTTGGCCCCTTATACTTAGTATATAATTTTTCTTTTAAGTATTGTATTTATAATTAAGTATTTGTAATTAATGGAATTAGCATAGCATACTTTAAATCAAGTATGGAAATATATTCTTACATATTTCATTCTTGTTTCTTTCATGCCCCTCTGCTAACATACTGCCCTCTACACATAACGTGTTCAGTGCATATCACAGGTGACATTCAGCCTTTTGTCAATTCTTCTGGGTGAATAGAGTAAAATTAACATTGTGACGATCTAGTACCAAAATTATAGAGTCACCTAGGAAAGGTTATTTTGAATATATGTCAGAACTACTTTTTTGAATATTATTCCTTAAAATGTTCATAAAGGGGCATCTTTTTTAAAATTACTCACTTTATTTTTACCAATCTGCAATGACTATCTTACACTACACAAGTAGACTTGAAAGCTTTTAAAAATCAAACTAAAGTAAATATATAGCATGAATTTATAGTAAAATATCAAACTGTTAATGATTCAAAAAGACCTAAATCAGGGCACTATCCTACATAATTATAGCCATATTAAATAATCACTAGATAAAATGAAAAACTGTCTACATCACATGAATACTATTAATGACAGCACTTGTATTTTTATTAAAATGGCAAGAATACAAATAGCGAACACCAGTAAAATATAGTAGTGCTCAGGGTGCAATGTCATCAAATCAAAATCTATGGACAGATAAGAGATTTAAGAGATTTGGGGGACATGGGAAAACCATGCTATTCTAGATTACATACAGCCACCCCAGGCAAAATACTAAAACAGGAATTAGGTTGACTGCAGTACTTTAATGTTTCAAAGAAAACTTTTTAAAATACAAATTTTTAAAAATCTTACATTCTTGACATATATCATCACCTACCTTTCTAAAACTAGTAGGAGTAAACACAATTGTAGAAGATGCATGTCAGTCTTTGAGTGATATAATAGTATGGATTTAACATCCAAACACACTCCTATTTTCTGCTGCTTTGAAGTCAGATTGTGGCATGGAACTTAGGTCAGGTTGGTTCCAAAGTGCAATATTGGGTCCTAGGCTACTACTGGTAAATTGTGCTATTTGGGCACAACTTCTCCAGCCATGATAACATAAATCAAAGGGAAAAATATTTAAACAACTAATTATTTGAGATACCAAGGAAGGAAAGGAAATCAGTTTTGTAAAAACACTTTTCCTTCTTTTTAAAGCTTCTTTATTTACTCTGGATAGGTGACAAACAGTGTCCAATAAAGTGAGCAGATTTTGCACTCACTATTACTGTATGGCTAGAGACAGCCATATGCACTTTTGTTTGTATAAGTCATCTCTGATCACTGAGATATGGCACACAAGAACAAAGACTCAGAGGCACAACATTAATAAATACATTTAACATCATCAAGCATTCAAAAGATAAATGCAATCATATAGCAAAAAAAAATCCACCTATTAACTTTGACCTTTCCAAGTATGGGAAGAATCTTTCTGCATGTCAGAAATCTCTATAGCAAAGATTCCTGTAAGAGAAAGAAAATCAGGGAGATTAGTACTTTAACTTAATTATTTCAGCAGGTGTAAAAAAGTATTCTGGCTTTACTTCAGTAGTACTTAAGTTTCTTCCCCAGCTTCTTTAAAGGAAAATGGATAGATTTTTTCACTTAGTTTTCACAAACTGTGGCACATTAATATTGTGGAACACTGTTCAGCAATAAAAAAGGATGAGCTACTGATATATTCAACAACTTGGATAGATGTCATGGACATCATGCTGAATGAAAGAAGGCCATTCTAAAGGATTACATTCTGTATATAATTCTATCAATAACATCTTTAAAGTGACAAAATTATAGAGATGAAGGAATTATTTTGTCTGTTGATAGGACAGAGAAGAGAAGGACATAGTTATAAAGAGGTATCACAAGACAGTGGGCTCTTTGGTGCTGACAGAACAATGATCTTGCCCAGCATCTTGCCTAGCAGTACACTGCCCACTGAGTTTCCTCATTCTCTCCAATATTCACTGTATATAGTGCTATATATTTCCAAGAGGATGGATCTTTAATGGACTTACTCTTCTAGGGATCGTTCGAGGCCTCGGTCAGGAGATCAATGATGAGCACGTTCTGGTGAATGACATTTTGTATTTGGCTTCACTGAACTCAAATGGTAAGCATTACTTGAGTAATTCTGGCGGCGAAGTTCTTGGACAGCCCTCTCCCTAGAATAAAATAGTGACACTTTTAAATTTTGTGTCAGTGTTATTAAAACATCATAAAATTATAGCTCAAGAAAAATCTAACCATCATGAAATAACCTATTAAACAATACTTTTCAGGCTAAATATTGCATGGATAATAAACTTACCTTTCAAAACGTTCTGTCCCTAGTTGTCGCTTAGTAATGTCTAAATCAGCCTCCAGTTGTGTTACAACATTTCTGAACTGGGCCACATCTCTACTCTGGATGGCCCTGTGTAAAAGAAGAATGACAGTTGATTAAATCCAAAATATGGCTGTGACTTAAGAGTTTATTAAACCACGTTCACAATGTTTCTTAGGTGTATCTAAGTCACACTGTGATTTTTATTGACAGATTTATTAGTACATGTAAAATGTGCTAATTTTAGATGTTTTAAATTTACAAACTAGCCTCCTTGAAAAGCCTAAACAATTCTTGTCCCCATTCAATTACTTAAATATTTTCTGTCAGTATCCCTATGTATATAGGTTAGGCATCTATAGATAGATAATGCAGTATCTATCTATATTACCTATTAACTGCAAATAATTTTTTATGAAAACACTTTAAAGTATTACATAATTGTTAAGCGGTACCCAGTATCATCAAATAACACTGGAATTCACTAGCACCACAGTTAATACGTATGTTCTGTTTTGTAAGTGTTAATTCAATCAGGTGCTTTATATATACTTAAAATAAAATTTAATGTACATACTAACACAAGCATAAAACTCTTTAATTTAATAGAATTTTCATTAAAGTTAAACAGTCCCTCCAAACTCCTGTGATAAGGCACACTATCATGAGGAAGATAATGACAGATGAATGCTGCTTGCACAGAACATTCTATGCTCTTTGCTTACTTTTAAGATGGCGTACAGACTGCTGAAATCTAAACGTTAAAGATTAAGAACACAAAAGTTTAATCATGCTAGCCAGCTCTAAGTGATAGTACCAGTGAGTCTAAAACAGAGTGTACCCCTGATGGTAGGAGTTTTGGCACATTTCCCTAAGCAGATTTCCTCCTACCAGCTGGAGAAAGAGATCCTGCAGAACCAGTTGAAGGTATTACAAAGCCTCGCTACAGTAACTGAACAGAATTACTCAGGCACAGACAATAAGACCCAAGAGCAGTTTCTGAGAGAAATGTGCCCTGCAGGGGCTCCTAGGAATGGGTGATTGCTGAGACCATGATTTCTATGCTTCCCCAGGTCCCAGGCTCAGATGCAAGGGTGGAGTAGAAGGTGAATGAAAAAGTGTTATAGTTAGGACAGCTAAGAATAGAGGCTAAAGAACCCTATTAATTTTGTGACAAGTAACCAAGTTTAATAAAAGAAACATTCACTATCCAGCCAAGATTCTTATAATAAAATGCTAGTGAAGCCAGAGATTCTAAAAGAATTTTTTTTTAAATTTTTAAAAAGCAAAACCAACAGAAAAGGTCAAAATTAATGGTCCTAGAATGCTTGAAATTTTGTGAACTCAGCTTTTCCAGGTACCCAGTATAAACTTCTAGGTACCAAGGAAATACTATGTGACAAATGGAAAGACTAGGTATCAATACCAGGTGGTTTCAGGGTGCTTACTTTCTTCTACTCTGATTATGTTTCTTAAAGGCAATATTTTAGATCAGACATTCTATTATACTCAGAACTGTTGGAAACAATCAGCAAAGATAGTTCAACTTAAATATCTCAGATAAGATAAAAACAATAGATAATGATACTAAATCTTAGGCAGATCACAATACTTCTGATCCTTAAGTTAATTAATGGCAAATTATGGGAGCTAAATTATCTAGAGTCCAACTTTAAAATTCTACTAATCTATAAAGTACCAAAAATTAAGAATATGACTTTATGTTCTTATATTGCTAGCCAACTCACATTTTATTTTCTGCCAAACAAAGGTGTTCTTTAAGAAGGTGAATTTCAGATTCTTTTTCTTGAAGTGCTATCTGAGACTGATATTCTTTGTCTCGATTGGCCACCAGCAAAGCTTCTAGATTCTGCATGGAGATTCTCTCATTTGTCATCTGACTCCTGAGAAGTTCTATTTCAGAACGAGCAGAATCTAACTCATTCTCCATCTGTATAATAATAGGAACATATCTAGACTTATTCCCTTTCATGCAACTGAAATTATAAAGGACTCAAAAGCTTTTGTAGTATATTATAAACTGACAACCACTTTTAACTTCTTTGAAATTGTGTCTCTTTCTTAATAAATCTACATAGCACACATACACATAGTGTCATTTTCTCCATCTCTGATCATATCAGAAAACTTCTTACATCAAGTCTCATTAATCCCAAACTGCAACCAATGTCTATTTCCAGTTTTGATATTTCTTTATATATTTCTGCAAGACTGTTATGGTAACATCTGTGACTGCTCTGCCTTCAGTCAGGCAAGTTATAAACACCTTCTGGAGTATCACTGTACTCTACAGTTAAGGATTATAAACATAAACCTGTGGGAAACTTCCCGTTTGAAAGGGACAGTTAGCTAGGTAAAGAGGGGAGGAATTTTCTAAGTTAGCTATAATGCAAAGAGATTATGAGGTGAGATAAAAAACTACAGTGAACGTTTTTAATAAAAATTTAAAAATAACTACAGTTAAATACATATGGCCATTAATCTCCCTCAAAATACTCCTCCCTCACTTCAAACACACTTATTACATCATTCTTGCCAGTTCCTAAAGCAGTTCTAGAAGTTCTCTTGTATAAGTGTCTTTTCATGGCTGCCTTGCTGTGCTAAATCAATTAAAAATGTTTATGGAAATTTTTGTCAAATAAAAAGTATCAAGGTGTGTCCTCATCCACTTTATTCATTGGATCTGGCAGCATGCAACCTCTGGCTCTTCCCCAAAGTCAAATTAACCAAGAAAGGTAAATGTTTTGCATTTATTCAAGGCAGCCAGAACAGCATGACTAAAGAGAAGAAAGAGGACTCCAAAACTACTTTAGAAAGTGGAGAGAACAATGGGATAAGTGTGTTTGAAGTGAGGAGTATTTTGAGGAAGATTAATGGCAATGTGTCTTTTACTGTAATAAATTAAAAAATTCTACATTTACCAAATTTTTTATCCCACCTAGCTTAATATATGCTGTGTGTCAAATTTCTCTTCAAAAGGAGAAATCTCAGCCATTATTATTATTTTTTAAAATTCCTTATCTCATATTTTACATAATAATAAATTCTATATCCATTAAAAAGTTACATATGAAAAGAATAAACTTCAAATTCCAGGAAAGTGAAATGAATTAAAATTAAATTATTGAGGTGGCGGACAGTTAGGCAGATAAACAAGCGAGGAATTTTCTAAGCTAGATGTAATGCAAAAATAAATTTAACCACATAAAAATAAACATTTTGATAGTTAATATAAACTTATTCAAATTTTGAAAGGAAACTACTGGAAGACTCAATAGTTAACATTTTTACTAATAAACTCAAACAAATTGATGAGAAATATGAACTACTTGTATGATCAGAAAATTTATAATGAAATAACCAAACAGTAAGCATATGGAAAATATTCACCCTTGCTAGTAGTTAGATGTAAACTAAAACAAGATACTATTTGCAGTCTAAAAGATTTTTAATCTTAACATTCCTGACCTTTTGGACTGGATAATTATTTGGTGTGTGGGGCTGCACTATGTGTTACAGGATGCTCATCAGTATGCCTGGCCTGATCTACCTATAGATCCTTCTAGCGCTTCCCCATTCTAATTATGACAATAAAAAAACGTACCTAGATAAAGTAAAAATGTATCGAGATATTTTTGACTGTCTTTTGGGTGCAAAGAAAAGTCTAACAGATATTCTTCTAGTCTACTACACTGGCAAATGTGATGGTTTGTGTTGAAGAACATTAAAAGGAGGAAATAGCAATCTCATATACTTTTGCCAGCAAGAGTACAGAATGGAACATCACTGTTTTAGCAACAGCTTTAGTAGCATATAACTTACATACCATCCAACTCACTATTTGTATAATTCAATGATTTTAAATATATTAACAGAGTTGTACAATCTTTGCCATGATATGATGTTAGAACTTCATCATCCAAGAAAGAAATTCAGTACCCATTAGCAGTCAACCTGCCCTCCCTTCCTTGGCCCCAACAATCCCTAATCTACTTCTGTTTCTGTGATTTGCCACATTCTGGGAGTTTCATATGAATGGAACCATACGATATGCATGTGGCCTTTTTTAACAGGCTTTCTTCACTTAGAGTAATGTTTTCAAGAGCCATCAATAGTTTAGCTGGTATTAGTATTTTGTTATTTTTATTGTCTAATATTCTATTGCACAAATATATCACAAACAACCATTCATAAATTAGTAGCATTTGAGTTATTATACACTTGGGTAATTATATAAACAATGCTGTGGCACTTGTACACAAGTTTTTGTGCAAATATATGCTTTTATTCCTTTTGGCTAGCTAAGATTAACATTTCTGGGCTTTATGATAATTCTATTTTTAACATTTTGCGGAATGGTCAAAATGTTTTCCAAGAGGGCCTATGTTACATTCCCACTATGAGTGAAGAAGGTTCCACTTTCTCCACATCTTTGTCAATGTTTTTTGTTTTTCTTTTTGTTTTAATCATCTTTTTTATTGTAGCTACCCTAGTGCTGGTAAAATGTGATGGTTTTGATTTGATCTTTCCTGACTGTTAATGATGTTTAGTATCTTTACAAGTGCTGGTTGATCATTTGTGTCTGTTCTATAGAGGAATATCTACTGATATCTGTGCTTATCTTTTTATTTGGGTTATAAGTACTAAGAGTTCTTTAAACATTTTTAATACAAACCTCTTATCAGTACATGGTTTGCAAGAGTTTTTTCCCATTTTGTGCATTATTGTTTCACTTTCTTATTGATATCATTTGCAGCAAAAAAGAAAAGGAGGGTTCAAAAATTATTTTATGAAGTTGATTTGATCATTTTTTTCTTTCTTTTTATTTTCTTATGTTTCTGATATGTACCTGTAAAAGTGTTACTGAACCCATGGTCACAAATATTTACTTCTATGCTTTCTTCTTTAGGGTGTTATAGTTTTAAGTCTTACATACAGATCTGTAATTAATTTTATCATTATGTATGGCATGAAGTTGAGAACCAACTTCATTCCTTTCTATGTAGATGATTGGTTTGATGGTATTTGCTGTAGGTTTTTCATAGATGCTCTTTACAAGGTTGAGAAAGTATCTGTTCCCTGGTTTTGAGTGTCTTTCATGGAAGGGTATTGGATTTTGTCAAATGCTTTTTCTGAATCTACTGAGATGAAAATTCTCTGTTTTCTCTTGGCTCAATTTCTGTCTAATTTTTATTATTTTGTTTATTCTTATTACTTTAAGTTTAATATGGTGCTTTTTTTCCCCAGTATCTTAAGAGGAAGGTAAGATTAGTGATTTGAAATCTGCAGAAAAATTCCTAGAACTAGTAAATGAGTTTGGCAAGGTCACAAGGTACAAGATAAAGATTCAAAAATTAGTTATATTTCTATACACTGGCAATGAACACATTGACAGCAAAATTAAAACTAGAATATCTTTTAAAGTAATTTTAAAAATGAAAAAATGTTTCATATTTTTAGGTATAAGTCTAATAAGACATGTACAGAATATATATGCTGAAAACTACACAAAGCTAATAAAAGAAAATGAGACACATTGTGTTCACGGACTGGAAGCCTCAACAAAGTAAAGATATCAATTCTCCACAAATTGGTATATAGGTTTAATGGAACACCTACCAAAATCCCACTATTTTATTTCATAGATATAGAAAAATTATTCTCAGACTTACATGGAAAGGCAAAAAGACTAGAATAGCTAAAGCAATTTCAAAAAAGAATAAAGTAGATGGACTTAAAGGGTTACTATATAACTGCAATAATAGTGATTATGTGGTATTAGTAGAAAGATAGACTCTTAGATCAATGTAAAGAACAGAAGACAAAAAAATAGGTCCATACAGATAGGCTCAACTTATTTTTCAGTTACAAAATCAATTCAATAACAGAAATACAGCTTTTTCAACAAATTGTACTAGAGCAATTGGACACAAAACCAACCAAACAAAAAAATCCTTGGCTCAAACCTTACACATGATCCATAAAAAAATCATTAAGTTCGAATTTATCAAAACTTAAAATTTTACTCTGAGAAAGAACCTGTTAAGAGGATAAAAATCACTAGGTCCAAAGTGAAAGAGGATATATGAAAATGACAAATTAGATAGAAGTCTAGTATCTAGAATATATAAACACTCTCTATAGTGAAGACTAGAAAAGCAACAATTCAATGAGAACATGGACCAAAGATATAAAGATGTTTCACAAAAGAAGATATACAGATGACAAATATTACACATAAAGAGTTTCCATCACAATAGCCACTAGGGAAAAGCATTTTAAAACCACCATGATATACCACTATACACATATCAGAATGATTAAAATAAAAAATAGTGACAACATCAAATGCCAGCAAGGATACAGATAAACTAGATAACTTGTACATTGTTGGTGGGAATGCAAAATGGTAGCTACTTGGGAAAACAGTTTGGCACTTTCTTAAAAAAAACATGCAATTAATATATAACCTAAAAATTGCATTCCTGGGCATTTACAGAGAAATGAAGACTTATGCATCCTCCCCCTCCACACACACTTGTAACATTATTTGTAATGCCTCCAAATTGGAAACAACTTAACCAATCTTCAGTGAGTGAATGGTTAAACAGTGCTATGCCAATAGTATGGAATATGATCCAGCAATCAAAAGAAACAAGCAATGACAGATGCAACAACCTGGAGGACTCTACATAGAATTATGTTGAGTGAAAAAGCTTATCTTAAAAGTTTATTATATGATTCCATTTATATAACATTCTTGAAATGATAAAATTACAGAAACGGAGAACAGATTAATGGTTGAAAAGGATTAAGGAGGGACACAAATGATGCTACAAAGGGCAACACAGTGGATCACAGGATAGAAATGTTCTGTCTCTTGCTTGAATCAATGTCAATATCTTGACTGTGATATCAGATTATAGTTTTTCAAGACATTACCATTGAGGGAAACCAAGTAAAGGGTACATGAGATTGCTCTGTATTATTTGTTAAATTAGATGCAAATTACCATTATCTCAAAACAAAATGTTAAGTTTAGAAAAAAATTATTTGAATATCCCCTCTCTGCGTAGTACAGCTGAAGAAACACAAAAATAAGTAATATGGCCCTTGCATTTTGGATTACATCTCACTGAGGAGATAAAGATATATACATAAATAAATAAATGTCAAGGTGAAATAAATTAATTTTAGAAGCATTTTAATGTACTATAGGAATAGAAAATAAGCTACAAAATTTAGAGTAAACATCTTTAAAATATTTTTAAATTAACAGAAATCAGAAATCATTATATATAATTCTACTAAGGGCAATTAATTAATTAATTAATTAATTTTTGTACTGGGGATCGAACTTAGGACCTTGAGCTTGCCAGGCAGGCATGGTGCCACTGAGCTTAATCCCCAGCTACAATTTTAAAACATTAAAAAGATATTGGAATATATCAACGTGGTCACAGTCTATTATTTTTATAAGCTTTGGTATTATACCTTCTGGTATTTCAGCTTTATATTATTTCAATTGTTAGAAGAACATATAGGGACTTTTGCAATTTGAAAATATTAGGTAAAACAATTTTTTATGGAAGTCCATACTGTTTCAATTTTTACAGCAAGCATCTATCCGTGAGTTACTTTCATCATTAAAAAATTCTTCCTAAAATAAAAAATAACTTAAGGAAGATTGAGAATTTGGGCATATATCACTTCATTAAAACATTTGCAGATTCTTATAAAATTAATCAGATACATGATTCTCAAATACATCATTAAACAATAAGTAACAAAATGAGAAATTCAACAAGGTTTGGTGATAACACTAATGTAAGCATGACAAAATTTGCTGGTATTTTAATCACACTATGCAGCTTCCATACATGGCCCTTCAGGATCTAGATTCTGTCTCTTCAGACTCAGCCTCCAGCCAATTCCTGCCATGCAGCCACACTAGCCACTGCGAGGTGCTTACTGCTCACACAAGAATACACATACACCCCACACCTGACACTACTAGGCTAAACAGGAATTACTCTATAAAACGTTGAGTATTTCTTCTTAGTGTAATGTTCATTCCAATTATCTATGTGTCAAAACTGAGAGGACCTGGAGGGGCAGAGCTTATGTCTTTTGAACATTAAATTCCCAGTAGCAGGCAAAATGTCAGGCATAAACTAGATACAATCAACTGAATTACTGTTTGAAAGAACAAAGCTAATTAGTAAATAAAATTCACTTAAAAGAATATCATTCAGATTGTAATTAAGCTGAATAACCCTCAACCTCAGGGCTGTTTGCTGACTGCTGTCAATGTGTTTTATAATTCTTCAGGCTAAAAGTAAATCAAATTGTATGCTCAAGAGAAGAGTGTCTGTTCTCAATATTGTGAACATAATTGTCATAAATTAATGATTTTTTTAAAATCTAAAACTAATAAAAATTAAATCTAAAGTTGAAAGATATATCTTAATGTAATATTTAATTTTAAAAAACCATTTGATTCAAAATTGTAATAATGTTAGAGTAACAGCAATTTTTAAAGAACCTTTTAAAATGTATTATAGCTAGTCATGGTGGCACAGGCATAGAATCGCAGCACTCTGGAAGCTGAGGCAGGAGGACTGCTGTGAATTCAAGGCCAGCCTTGACTACATAGCGAGACCCTGTCTCAAAAAACAAACAAATAAAAATATAAAATGTATTACATACCATTTCTATTTCTTGATCTTTAGCAACCAGCTGTCGATTAAGAAGTTCTTTGCTTGAGTCAAGTTTAATGCAGAGCTCCCTGGTGGAAGACAAATCTGCAAGTGCAGACACTTTTTCAAACTGAACCTTCTCTAGCTCCTCTTCCATTTTTACAAGAGATTTGTGTAAGGTTGAAATCTGGGACTTGTAAGATCTTTCTGCATTTAAGTGCTGCAAGGACAAGATCACTTTTACTACACATGTGGAAGAAAAACTACAACATGGAAAGTAAAGGGAAGCAGATCTTTTAACTCTAGTATCTTAAGACCACAAGAAGCTCAGATGGTGTAGGTAGTAAATGTGTATTCAAAACACTCTGGGAAAGATAAATTCAGTTTTCAAATCTGTTTAAGGAAAATCAGTGAGTAGGGTGGTCACCTGGTCATTTAAAAAATATATTTAGATAAAAAACCCTTTCCCACTTAAAAGTCTCCAGTGCTGAGTTGAGATATATACATTTGGTCTATACTTTTACCTGCATCTGTCACAGTCTTAATTATTCTACAATACAAATGTTGTTGCTAAAGTCACAGTGTTGGCCACTGTTTCACTCCGCACCCATCTTCCAATTCTTGACTGGCATGTTGATATCAATCATACCATATAAAACAAGGCCCCATAAGTCTAACAGTAATACTGCTGAGGAAAAATAATCCATGCAAGTATAAATTGAGCATATATCCAATAATTGGAAAGAAGAGCATGTTTTAAAAACCACAATATGAGATTCAAGTTACATAAATGCTTCCAAATGTTCAAAATAATTCCTTTCCATTACTTTTTTTTCCTTCAGAAAAATGCCTTACATAAGAGCACTTGCCACCTACAGAGAAGTATTTGTTTTCTATCAGTGAGGATAACAGAACTGAAACGTGAAAATTTTTATGTACTTTTACAAGTATAAGGCACTAAAAACTTTTCCTGGTATAAGTTACTCGGTCACAATTCATTCCCATCTTTTCCCCTCCATTCTTCCCCTCCTTCCATACTCGGCCTTATTCATTCTTCCTACCAGCCTTCCACCCATACATCCACTCACTCCCACATACCCCAATATTCACAGGATACAATCTATATTCTAGTCACTTTGCCTTTGTGTATATTTAATTGGAAGAAAAATCACCTGTGATCTCATAAAACTTCCAGACTAATGGGGGAATCAAATAAGGATACATGAATGTACAAATCCGTATTAAGAAAACATCTCTGGAGAATAAGTATGCAACAAGGAAACTGATCTAGATTGGTACCAGCAAGTAATTTAAAAGCTTCACAGGATAAACATCTACCATTCAAAAAATACAATTATCAATAACATAAAATTTAAGAAGTCTAGAATACAATCAGATTTCTCACTCCTCAAGATATGAACGAGATATCTAAGAAAAAAATCAGTCAATAGATACAGAAGTAAATATTGCAGAGATTAGCCATAAAAGGACATTAAAACAGCTACTGTAACCACACACATTTATTTATTTATTTGTTTGTTTGTTTGTTTATTTATTTATTTTTGAGTCAGGGTCTCACAACACTATGCAGTTCAGGCCAGCCTTGAACTATGTAGCCCAGGCTGGCCTCAAACTCTTGGCAATCCTCCTGCCTCAGCCTCCCAAGTGCTGGGACTACAGGTGTGTGTCACCATGCCTGGCTCCTGGGATTATAGGTGTGCACCATTACACCTGGCTAACATACTCATTATGACCAAAGATTTAAAGAGAAAAATAAGAAGGGAAGTGAAAGGCCTTACAATAGCCAAATAAAATATCTGGAAATAAAAATGATAATGTCTCAAATGAGCAACAGAATAAATATTTAAAAAGCTACACCTAAACATATCATATTCAAACTGCAAAAAATCAACATAAAGAGAAAATCGTGAAAAAAATTCAGATGGGAGAGAAAAGGAACAGAAATAAGACTACATCAGACTTCTCTTCAGAAATCATGCACACAAGACAGAAGAGTGAAATATTTAAAGTATTGAAAGAAAAAGCCTTCCACTCAGAATTCTATATCCAAAAACCTATCTTTCTAAAGTTAAGGAGAAATGTTCCCTCAAAGAAAAATTGAGGCAATCTGTTGCTAGTAGAACTACCTTCCAAGAAATAGTCAAAGAAGTTTTTCAGATACTTAGATCCACATAAATAAAATATCAAGGCTGGGCATTGTGGCACATGCCTGTAATCCCAGCACTCAGGAGGCTGAGAGGCAGGAAAATCATGGTGAGTTTGAGGCCAGTCTGGGCTACATGAGTTCAAGGCCAGCCTGGACTACAGAGTGAGACCCTGTCACCAAAAGAAAAAGAAAAAAAAGTATTAGAGAAGGAATAAATGAAGATAAAACTCTTTTCTTTTCCTCTTTTTAACTGACCTACCAGATAACAGTTTGTTAAAAATCATAGCAACAAGAGCCAGAGGCCCACCATTCCATTGGTAAGTGCGTGCAGATCCTGGGGAGCAACTGTGAGGCCCAGACTGGCACAGTTGCAGGCAGATCCCAGCAAGGGCTCTGCCCCGACCCCAGAGGCTCCTGCATACCCACCCAAGCCAAAGGCCCACCCAGAAAAGAACTGCACAGGCCCACAAGATTTAGCCAGAGGCCCACCATACCACTGGCCACAGCCAAAGACCCACCTGGAAAAAAGCTGCACAGGCACACAAGCAATACCCAGAGGCTTACCCTGATACCATTGATAAGTGTTTGGAGACTGAGGCCAAAGCCTGCGCAGACAACAAGAACTGGGGTGCACAGCTCCCAACCAAAGGCGCTCCCAGACAACAGCTACATAGGGGTCCCAGCAAGAGGCACACCTAGATACCATCCCAAGGGTGCATAGGCCCCAGCCAGAAGCCCACCCAGACAATAGGTCAGTTCAGGGATCCAGAAGGCCATGACTCTGAACCCAGGAATTGGTGTACTGGTGAGCAGCAGAGTAAAGGCTGCTTGGTGGCTTGCTGAGAACTGAAGACCACTGGGTGAGCAAAACATCATCTCAACAAAGGCACAGCAGACTGCATCTGCTGAAATGTGAAGACACACAAATAAGTCTCAAAACCAGACTTCCAGATCACCTAAGGCAACCCCAAAGGGCAACGAGATGGAATAATTTGATACTCAACCACCTGGATCCCTTGAACTGGCAACAAAAGAGGACCTGGAAAAAATGAAATCAGAAATAATTTCTCAGATAACAGCAGAGATTGTGCCCATAGTACAAGACATGATTAATAAATCTAGAGCAGATACAAATAAAAAAATACAGGAGCTGAGGAACATGATAGAATCCCAACATAGGAAACAAATGGAATCCATAAAAGAGATGCAAACAGATTTCAAGGAGATTAAAAACTCCACTGAAAGTTTATGGAGCACAATGAGCCAATGTGAGGATAGAATTTCAGATATAGAAGACTGGATGGCAATTAGCGATCAGGAAAAGAAAAATTTCTTAAAAACAATAAGGGACCACGAGAAATCAATCCAGCAGCTGTTAGACAATGCAAAGAAGAATAACATCAGAATGACTGGAGTCAATGAAGAAAGAGGAGAAAGTGCAGATGACATTAAAAAAAAACTGTTCACAGAAGTAATGGCAGAAAACTTCCCAAATAGGGGAAAAGAACTTGACATAGAGATAAGTGAGGCATATAGGACTCCAAATAGCCTTGATAAAAAAAAAATCTACACATAAGGATATAATTGTTAAAATTCCAGAAACCCAACAGAAGAACAAAATTCTACAGTCAGAAAAAAGAAACAAATGACATACAAAGGAAAGTCTATCAGAATCACAGCAGATTTCTCAACACAAACCCACAAGCCAAAAAGAGGGTGTACTCATGTATTTTAAGCCCTACAGGAAAACAGCCTCCAACCCAGACTGATGTACCCTGCAAAACTATCTTTCAAAATTGATGGAGAAATAAGACACTTTCATGACAAAGAGCACCTTAGGAACTTCATGAATACCAAACCAGCACTCCAAAAAATTTTAAACAATATCCGAGGAAAAGACAACAAGGATCACAACCCCAGGAAGCCCTGCAGAATGAATCCATCAGGCACGACAATAAATTAAATGCAAAGGGGAAGAATCCAACAAAAAGAAAAAGTCATGACAGGGATAAGTCAATACATACCAGTTAGAGCCATCAATGTTAATGGTTTCAATTCACCAATTAAAAGAAATAGACTGGCAGAATGGGTCAAGAAGGAAGATCTAAAAATATGCCACATATAAGAAACACACTTAATTCAAAAAGAAACTCATAGACTGAAAGTTAAAGGGTAGAAAACAATACTCCATGCAACAGGAACCGGAAAAAAAGCAGGAATAGCTAGCTATCCTCTTTGCAGATCAAGTGGATTTAAAACCAACACTGATTAAGAGAGACAAAGAAAGGGCCGGGGATTTAGCTCAGTGGTTCTGGCACCTGCCTCTTAAGTGCAAGGTACTGAGTTCAATCCCCGGTACCAAAAGAAAAAGAGAGAGAGAGAGAGAGA